ATCTTTCTTCATTTACCTCTGTCACAGAGGTAAATGAAGGGCACATACTCCAGTAGCTTCCTAAAGGGAAGAAAAATTCAATGAAGGAAAGTATTTTAAATTTTTGCATGTCAGAAAATGTTTCTTGTTCTACCTGCATGATACAAAGTTTGACGGGCTGTAAAATTGTAGGTTAGAAATCATATTCTTTACCAGTGGGATGGTTTACACCTAGATGTCCCCTAAGAGCTGCATGTTGTCCTTGGTGAGGCTTCAGGAAGGTAACTGCACTATGGGGGCTTAGTGTTGACTTGCTATTAGGAGGTGGGCTCTGGTCAGAAAGGCACACGACTGGGACCTCTTCTGTCCCTGTTTCTCTCCATCTGTCTCCCACCTCTGCTTCCCTCCCTCCTTCCCTCTGTCCCTCCCTCAGCCACTTCCAATCAGGTACCTATATTTCAGAGTATCTTGCCATCGCATGCACAAACTGCCAGAGGTAGCTGATGTCATAAATCCTTACGAGATTTTTCAAAGTAAAATGGACCACTGTCACAATTTTTAGTTATAAATAATTCAGTATTTTGAAAAAGCTTCAGATCAGCTAAGGCTTCTTGAAATTCTTCACAAAACATGAAAGGAAACCACACAGCAACATGTCCCCTTGGTGGTACTGACCACAGACCTAGGTTCCCCCTGTTCCTAAGTCACTGAACTATGATCCATCCCACCAGCCCAAAACATGGCAGGGCAAGTTTAACATTTCCAAGCAGATACTGAGGCAGAACACCAACACTCCGCTTGGCCACTGGTAAGAATAAATACCAGCAAAACACCACCACCACTAAGGATGAATGAAAAGAAAGCAACAACTTTCTAGGAAAATAATTCATGACCAAAAATAAAGAAAAAGAGCCACTGCTGAGTGCAGAAGAGGGTAACAGAAGGATGTGTTTTGTTGAGATTATAATTATTACATAGCATACTTTTTTGAGATGTTTGGTAAAATTCACCAAAATATGGTGTTTATTAAAATGGAGGGTGCTTAATATCTATAATCAAAGGAGAGATGGCTGAGAACTATGGGCAAACACAGCAAATGACCAGTAAGTCTTAAAGTGTTGTGAAATAAATTTCAAATTATATAATGTTCAATGCATTACAATGAAGAGGGAAAATATTAAAAGCCCTCTCAGAAAACAGAAGAATGAGAAAATCAGCAGAGGTAGAATAATAGACAAGAACAATCAGATTCCACCTTACCCCAGTAAGAATGGCTAGCATTAAGAAATCAACCAATAACAAATGCTGGCGAGGCTGTGGAGAAATAGGAACCCTTCTCCACTGCTGGTGGGAATGCAGACTGGTGAAACCACTGCAGAAATCAGTTTGGAGATTCCTCCAAAAACTAGGCCTAGAGGTCCCATTCAACCCAGCTATCCTCCTGCTTGGTATTTTCCCAGAAGATCTAAAAACATCGTATCACAGTGATGTATGTGCACCCATGTTCATAGCAGCACAATTTGTAATTGCTAACATGTGGAAGCAACCCAAATGTCCATCCACTGAGGATTGAATAAGAAAATTGTGGTACTTTTATATAATGGAATATTACTCAGCTGTAAAGAAAGATAAACTCGAGGCTTTTATAGGCAAATGGTCACAACTAGAGACCATACTCATAAGCGAAATAAATCAAACATACATGTGCAAGCACCGCATTGTTTCTCTAGTGTAAAGCCTGAAAGAGTTAATTTAATCTAGGAGATATGATAGACATTGTGAATTGATAGGAAAGCACTCATAGGTAAAGGATAACTGGGATATGGGAAAAGAGAAGGGAAAGAAGGAGAAAGTTTGTATATATGTATATGCAGGATAGTTAACATGGGTGTTCTACTGTCCTGTATTTCCTTGCTGAAAGCAACTGTCAGTGAGGCATTGGTTGATTAGCTTTGTATGTCTATATGTGTTTTCATGAGAAACTACATTGAAGATATCAATATGTAATACAATAAGCATTGTTAATTCCTTACCACTCTGTTTGTAACTCTGTAATGTCTGTACTGATCCTATGCTATTTTGTAAAATGTTGTCGGTCTGTTAGTATTTTCCTCCTTTTATTTCTAAAATAAAAAATAAAATAAAATAAAATAAAAAAGAACAATCAAAAATAATCAAATAAAAACAGGTACAAAATACAGGCAATTTGTGTTTCTTAAAAAGAATTGGAAGCAATAAAACAGAGAGCCACAATTAATAATGTCATAGACTAAGACACAGGGTCGGCCAAATGCCTGGAAGATTTGATGAAAAGTAACATATAAAACATCTTGGTTGAAATTTTAAACACAAATGATCTAAGCTTCCAGGGATATAAATGCAAACCATGTATTAAAAGTTGAATAATTTGGCTTGTCTCAGATTTATACTCTGTGTTGTGGTTTGTATCAAAAATATCCCCCAAAGGCCTGTGTTCCCAGCTGATATTTGGAAGGTAGGTGGAACACAAGAGTGTTAAACTCATTGGTGGATTAACTTATTGAGGAGTTAGTAGCAGAATGTGCTGTTAGGAGATGGAGCCTGCTCCAATAAGGTGTGTCATGGGGCGTGTGACCCGGAAGGGTGTAGTCTTCTCCCAGTACTCCCTTGCTTCCTGACCCATTGGTCCCTCTGTTTCCTGACTGCCATGAGGTGAGCAGCTCTCCTCCACCATGCCCAAAGGGCAGGTGTACCACTCACACCCATAATCCCAGCATTGGACATGAATCAGTCATAAACTCCAGAAGCCCACCCCATGACTACATGAGGCTCTGGGGGAACACCCAGACACAAACTGTAGCACTCACAATCCTAGGAAAGTTTTTCTATTGAATCTTTGAGAATTCCTTATCTTCATTCTACATTTTGGAAATAACCAGTCTGAATTTATTTATTTTTTAAATATTTTGCCTTTTTCTTTTTGCTCGTTACCCCCCTTAACTCATGTCAGCTGAATAGTAACCTTAAGTACCTGTGCAATACCTCTTTTGTCATGCGACACTACATTATCACAGGGGAAGGAATTATATAAGAGCAAGGGTCTTTGGTGTTATTCCTAGAATTCTACCTACCTCATCCCTCTCTAGTTCTCTTCATTGTCAGAGGTTGAAATCTTATTTAACTACAGGCACTTTAGATGGAGTAAAAACTGATATTATCTACTCAGTCTCACATCTTAAACTAAAATTCCCAATGATATTGTAACAGGTTGCACATTTATGTGTATTACATACATTTGTATGTGTAAAAAGTTGAACTATATTTTCTCTATAGATGATTCAATTATCTATGATTGCCTCTACTTCCCTTAATAACAAGAGAAAAATAACCTTAGTAAAATGTCACTTAGTCTAATTTAATAACTAAGCAATCTTCTTACACAAATGGTATTATCATAGAAAAATTTCACTGGATGGAGTTAAACAAGCCAAAAACACAATTAAATGCTATTGCAAAAAGGGAGAGAGTTTGAACTCAACTACACTAAAGAGCAGGAATTTTAAGCATTGGGATGACCCAAAAGTGCTGGAGGATTTTAGCAAAGGGTTGGTCAGTGTGATTAGGAGATCTGTATTTGCTAATTTGCATCTGTCTAAATTAGGCTCTTAAGTTGCCAGAAAGACTGAGATATAGGTATCCTATTTTTCTTGATGATTCTGTTTCAAAAGGTGGCCCCAGGTTCTTGAGAAAAAACATTACTAGGTTGAAATACTGACAAGAGGCTTGGAGACTATTTACATCTCAGAAGGGCAGAAAAAGAATTTTCAGTTCAAAGTTTTCGAGAGTAGTGTTCTAAGACAAGGGAGGTCAGGAGAGTTAGGAAGAAACCAATCTAGAGTTTAGCTGAGTTAATTGGAACCTGAAGACCAACTTGAGGGTAAAGTGCTTAAATTTCAGATTTCCATTCATAAGGTACAGGAATATTAAAGCTTATGTAGTCCATTGTCTAAAAACAAAAAAAGGGTATCTTGAATTCATATGTCCCCTAGATTCTTGCCTGTCACTTCTCCAGCGTGACCAGTTCTGGATTGCTCCCTGTTGATGATCATGGAATTCTAATTGGCTCCCTTTCACTTTTTCAAAGGCGTCAAGCTGTCACCTCCCCTTGGAGTCTTTGCTTCCAATCTTGAAGTTAGTGCATTCTGTTTCTTCTTTGCCTGATACCAGTATTCTGCCTTTCTTTTGTCCTTATCTGTACAAGCAAACACAAACTCCTCTCTTTATTGCCTGCTTTAATCCTTGGAACTAAGGCATCATCTGCCTTCCACAGTACTTCTGCATATTGCTCAGCATGTGTCACACACGGCAAAAAGTGAATCCATAGAACTAAGTATCAATCCATGACATTCGGGCGTTTTTGTTTCTAGTAGTGAATACTATTCTCTTCCCAGGGGCAAAGTGCCTTGAAATAGAACGTGGAGAGAACACTGAGAATTGGTTGAAATATAATTCTCCAGTTTAATGTCCACAGAATCTTTCCTGCTTATAAGGCAAACACATGAAATGTGTTTATGAATGCTTATAAGGCAAACACATGAAATTGTCACCTGGCTACAAAAATGTTTCTGAAGCTTTAGCTGACAGAAAAACAAATGTTTTACAGCTAGACGGAAATTCTGTCTAGCAATCTGTGCTTTCTAATTTCCATAAAGGCAGGAATGCTGTTACTTTCTAAATTCCCAGAAATAGAATTTATGGCTGTTTATTTGGTTATATAACTATTGTGTCTTGAGCATGTTACTTATGTCTTAAGCATGTTATGTTCACCTGTATATGGAGTGTCACTAATTCCAAGTAAAAGATAATGCTTTATTATTGCTATATTTGATCTTTAAAATTCTTAAATAACGACATACATACACACACACACACACACACACACAGGGAGGGAAAGGTGTGGTGACTACATCAAGTACCTTCACTGTGAAACTCAATGCAACTTTTTACAAAAAAAAATTAACTGTCATTAATATGTTTTGAAAATTATAAGTGGTAATGTAATTTCATTCAGTTTATAATTTATAATGTATTTTGTTCTCAATATGGGTGTTTTTCCTAATGTACAATGTTCAGCTTTAACCTCCAGCACCACTGCAATGATGTTAATATTGTGATTACTGCGAGATGTATGTTACTACTCCGAATAGGAGACCAGAAACAAAATTGAGTCAGTTAAACTCTTAGGCCCGGGTCTGGAAAGTGTTTATCCAGACATCGCACGTGTGCAGGCCGCCACCGCCGCCATCTTCTCTCACGTTGCAGCCGTCGCCATTTTCTCCTCCCCGGCTCTTGGGGCGGTCCTGTGCCGGTTTCTTCCCGCGATAGAACAGGACAAGTAGCTTCTGTCCTTACTGCTATGTCCTGTTTGAAGTTTCTCCGAATCCGGAGACATGCTGTTTCCCTCAGGAAGGCTCCGAGGGTGGAGCCGCGCCTACTGCAGAGCTCCACTCAAGCTCGCGGGACAGCGCCTTCTGGAACAGAACAAAGCTCGGAGACACCTAGGGATGACTGCGTCGGCACTGCGTATTTTGAAACTCTCTTTAAACAAGTCTGTGCACCTTTAGGGCCCAGCCCGACCCAAACCGGCTGAGCGCTCCCGGCTTCAGGACGCCGCGATGGGCCAGAGCCCGGGGCAAGGCCGGCCAGGAGGAGCACAGAGCCTCGTACGGAGGCTGGGCCGTAGCTCCGAGCGCCGGCGTCGGGTCGTTCCCTGGTGCCGGCGGAAGGGCGGAACCAAGGTACCGCGACCTGAGACCCGGAAGGACTCCTTCCGTCCGTGCACCTCTCGAGCAACCGGGAGATGTCTCTGGGGCACTGCTGAACGTCAGCAACACCTGTGGGCCTTTCAGAACAAGACTAGGAATCCGCAGAGGTGATGCAGCATCCGGGGTCCAAAGTTCCGTGCCACGTTAGCGCTCACTCCGCCAGCCCTGCTTTTAGGAAGCGCGCCCGGCTGCAGGGTGTAAGGGCGCATGCGCAGAGCCCGCCCTGCCCACAGCTCCGCGCACAGCACGCCGGGAGCGGCGGAGCTCGCCCCGTTAGCACGGCAACCGGTCCCACGCCGTCGCCATAGAGACCCGCGGGCGCCTCCGCTGGCAGCGGCGCAGGATGCTCCGCCGAGGCTGCGAGGCGTCCAGCCGGCGAAGACACCCGAGCGACAGCCTCAGCTGGCAGCAGGACCAGGCCCTGAGCAGCAGCATCTATCTCCTGCGAGAGATAGGTCCCACCGGCTTCCTGCTGAGGGAGGAAGAGCCGGAGAACGGGGATTTCCGAGTAACTATGCGGTCGTCTCCATCCCTTCCTTCCCCGGTCACCCTCAGTCCTCGCATCCCCGCCCGGGCCACTCCGGAACACTGCACAGGGGGAGAGAAAGAGCGGTTGCTGCGAGAGTTTGTTTGTTGGGGATTAGGACCTCAGGTTGTATCCAAACTCTGGCACAGTGATGGCCCCTTGATGGCCCCTCTGAAAACGTCAGAGGTTTTATATGTGCATTTAGTTTGTAAGAAATGGAACCATTTCCAGTAGTCACTAATCCTGTAAACCAATCAAAATGGAAATCCTACAGATGTACAGACCGTAAATACTTGCTCCATAAACAAAACCAGTTTCGGGTTATTCACTTTACAACATAACAAGGCCCCATTAAAGCATAGTTTAAATGGTGATGCCTTTGGAAAGCTCTTAATAAAAATTCTTTCATTTTGCTGAAAGACTAGGGATATTTTATATTTATATAGTCCATTCTCAGCAAAAATCGGCCAGTGCACACCCCTCCCATGAGTTACTTGGAAAATTGTAACTTAGTGCCATGTATTTTAGAGTACTGAATACAATCTACCTGTCTGCGTTTTTAAAGCATTCTTTTCCCCTTGTTGCTTACAAAACTTACTGGCTTTCATAAACTGTGTTAGCCAATACAGTCTTGATGAGTAAAATTACTCCTCTTGAATAAGATTAAATTTTAAATCCAAAACAAACAAAAATACAAAGTGGGTTACCTACAAAAGGTGTTTAGGTCTACTCCAGAGTTCCCTATAGTAAGAATCATTGTTTTGAGAGGTTTTTGTTTGGTTTTTGTTTTTCAGCTTTTAAACTTATAGTCTCATCTGTGTAAAGATCACTCAAGACTGTCTTAATTCATAATGCGTATTGTTAACCAAGGAAAGAATAAGGAAGTGAAATATCAGTCGAAGGTGTTTGCCAAAAGTTGAGATTTTCCAATAGGCTGGCTAATAATAGGCTCCATGTGGACTCACCTAAACCAAGTTACCTCTTTAAGTCTCTATTAATCAAATTAAATAATAACTTAGTTTTGCTCTAACATTCACTGGCATTTTTAAATATGCATTTTTCTTTTAAAGGTTTTCCTAGGAAACCCTCATGTTTGTAACTGTTCCACATTTCTGAAAGGAAGGGAACTTTGTAAGCATATATGCTGGTATGTGATTTTTTTATTAAGTTTTTATTAGTACTTGTTTGCAGTATATAATGATTACAGGAGAGTTGGTACACGTACGTAACACATCTTAATTCTTTTTGCAGCTCTTTCCCCTCCGCTCCCTCTCCCACCCTCTCTTATCCCCTCTCTACTTCCTATTATCTGTCTTTTATTTTGCTCTATTTATACTTTGGGTTTCTCACATAAGAGAAACTATTTAAGCTTGTGTGTCTGATTTATTTCCCTTAGCATTTGGTCTCAATGTTTTGGTCCATTTTTTCTATTAATAACAAGTTTATAATGAAGATCTTCCACCAAGCAATGTCTTGATGGATTATATATTTTAACTTTTTCTTGGTTTGAATGCAAGAAGATTAAAGAAATTTAGTGTTGGTGCAATGTAAAATTTGAATGGCCATTATTTACCAATGTATTAGTCAGTATCTCATTTACAATGGAAACAATAAAATTTAGATTGAGGGAAATTTTATAATGTTAATGTTTTCTTAATAAAAACATCAACTTTTAGACTCATTCTCATTCTACCTACAAATGCGAAACCTATAAAGTGTGAAAAATGCCAGATTCGCATTACTGATGTTAAATTTGTGATTCATTTTGAGGCATTACTGTGCCTCAACAAATTTTCTTGAAATCAAGTGTTCTGTTTTTCTCATGAATACAATGGAGTTGAAAATATTCACTCTATTATGCTGGTTTTTGCTGATCTTTTCACAGTGGTTTTTTCTTTTTCAGTGAATACTTTGCCATGAATCTTTCAAGATAGAAATAGGACTGTATTGAAGATTACTTTTCTCAAATTTGAAATCATTCTTTTAGTGTCAGGATCTTTTTATCGGGTTATTAATCCCCAGAAATAGAAAAAGAAGTCTCGGTTAGTTTAAAACCTCAATTCCTTTCATTTTGTTTTGCCTGTTTATCTACACTCATCCCAACAGATCCTTCATTATATTATTATTTATTTATAATTTATGTTTGAGGAGAAAATGAAAAAAATTTAAGAAAGACTACGTCATTTCTAATGGTTTTATTTATAGGTTAAAAAAAAGCAGTACAGTATGTGTGTTATTTTCTAATGCCTTACCAGGTTTTTTGTTATTTCATTTTGGTTGGTTTTTATTAAGCATCCATGAACATGGGTTATTTGCTTTTGTCACATAATGATAAAAATATACTTCTTTCAAAACTTGCAACTTGATACCATTATACTTACAGTAGGTTTTCCATTTTTATTGTATACCAAAGCAAGAGCACTCAATTTTGATTTTAATGTAACTAATTTTGCTTTAAACAAATTAAGTGGAAATATAGTCCAAGAATTTAATATACTAAAGTATACTTAATATATTTAAACAATAACTAAATATGTATTTGCCACTTTTAAAATCACATTTCATTTTATTTGGTGAGATTTGAAAATATTTTTCTATCATACATTGAAGTGCTATATCACTTGGTACTATATCCAGATATTATACTTCATTTCCAGGAAGATCAAAAGAAGTACTATAAATACCTAAAACCCTCACTCGCCTGTCTCTGAAAGCTATACGTCATAAGAAATATGTGGACTCTCTCTGATAAATTTCTTTACCAATGTGTTTTGCTTCCATTAATCATACTTTTTCATGTTTATTTGAAAACATAAGTTTAACTACCGTTATTACTGAAAATTGATACTTTAATTTTCTTCATAACACTTTAATTTTCTTCATAACACATCCCAGTGCAAATTATATGATGCTATTTCTCTCCTAAAATTTTTTAGAAATATTTTTGAGTTATGGTAGATTGAATGTTTTCATTTTTTTCTACTTGTGAATATTAGGATCTTGTTGAAAAAATTCAGGCTTCCAAGGAATCATGAATGTAAGTTTTATGGGTTTTGGTATTTATTTTCACTAATTTGAAATTTACATTTTATGTGTTGAATTTTTTACTTTAAATATATTCTGAATTTAGATGCTTACGTTTCAAAAGAATCCACTGTGTATAGCCCAGCTTCTTAAAGTTGGAATATTTTTCTTCTTTGATTTAGAAAAACAAAACTACTTTGACATACCATTTTCAAAGTCAAAGACACTCAAAAATAAAGATGAAACAATGGCCAGTTATTTGGCAGAAAATATTTCATATCCGGGGCAAAACTTCACAGTGCTTTCTGTATCTAAAATTGTTTTAATAGTAAGAAAAATTTTAAATGCAATTTTTTACATCTCAGAAATAGGATGGCACATAATTTTATCCAAAAGTGTTTACTGATTGAAAATTTTTTTAAGAACGTTCTTAATGTAAAATGTAGTAGTTTTATGTTAGTACTTAAATTGAGTTTAGAGTCAGGTGTTGTAAGATGTTAAATTCGAGTCCTCAAAAATAAAGGGAAGAGACAATTTTATTGTAGGTCATTAAATGTAGACATTTTATAGTAAAGGTGCTGCCATTATCAGTATTGCCTGCCCCCAAGGAGCTGTTGGTCCTATACAAGACCCCTGTATGAGCTGCATTTTAAAATTTTTATAGGGGATGGGGGTTTAGCTCAGCGGCACAGCGCCTGCGTGACAAGTGCAAGGTTGTGAGTTTGATTCCCGGTACTGGAAAACAAAACAAAAACAAACAAAAAAATAAATAAATAAAATTTTAAAAATAAATAAAATTTTTATAAATGTGCATTATATTCATAAGAATTATAGTGATGATCAGTTTTCAATTCAAAGATTCTATTTAGGCAGGCTCTTAAAACACAGTTTCTAGTAAGGACAGCAGGCGGGAGAAAATTCAGAAATCAGAGTGTGTACTTCACACAGGTGCGGGCAACAGGGTGCTGAATAGAGTGTCCTGAGGAGTCAGACTGAATCGGAGAAGAGCGTGCCCCCGAGACACTTTGTGTAGTGACCCAAAATTGAAACAAGAAAATAGGCACAATTAATTCACTCTTGGCTTCCCACTGTACATTTTTTCATTTATTCATCTAACAAGCATAAATCATACAACTCAGATATTCTTGTTTTCCTTTTATGTGTTTGTGCTCCATGGACAAATGAACAAATCAAAATGCAGAACTTTTTTTTTTTTTTTTTTTGGTTTTTCTTCGGTACCGGGAATCGAACTCACGACCTTGCGTTTGCCAGGCAGGCACTGTGCCACTCAGCTAAATCCCAAGCCCCCAAGATGCAGAATGTAATTATGACACCAATCCAAAAATGAACACCATCCTATCCAAAATCCTTACAGTGCACTATTTGCACTTTTTTCAGTAACAAGAAAAGAAAGATAATTTCCACCCTTTTTATAAATGACTCCTTTCTGACATTTTGGCCCTGAAAAGACTGCAAAGAAGTGGTCACTGTCAGCATATGATTCAACTAAAAAACTCTCCTTCTGCCCCTTGAAAGAAAACTCTAACCTGAAGCATAAATTATTACATCTCTGTATTCCCAGTTTTGCCGCTGTGTTTTAATACTGTGGGGTTTTTCACTAGCTGCTTTCCAGTTAGGTCTTACAGAAGGAGCAATAAACGACCTGCTGCTGGGGATACACAGAGTTCAGACACCACAGGTAGCAAGGCCTGATGACAGTGCACATGGGGAAGGAGATGGGTACGTCCAGCAGAAGGAAGTTGGTCCTGAGGACATCTGCTCTATTTGCCAAGAGGAACTTCTGGAGAAAAGGCTCCCTGTCACCTTCTGCAGGTGATGGATTTTGTCTTTGGCTTATACGCACTTATGAAAAAGTCTAACTCAGCATGTTTACAACTGATTAAAGTATGAGACATGTTGATAGAGAAAAATAGAAAGTGTTTTTCTTAGTGTCCTTTTGTTTGCCAACATGTACACTGCTAGTTTTTTCATTGTTATTTTTCCTCCTGCTTATTGGCCAAAATGTCATACACATTGTAGTTTTTCATTGTAGTTTTTCACATGGCTGTCTCTATTGCATATTGTAACATTATTAACAACTTCCACAAATATTGTTTCTCTCAGCAGATATTTCTTAGGTAGTTAGAGTGTGATTTCTGAGAAAATCAGGTGGCATCATTATAATTTTCCTTTGTGTTAAGATGGTTTTCAGTCATTTTACAAATAAAAATATTTTTATGGTCCAAACTCTTTCATTACTTCACTGGATCAGAGAAAAGTTGTGTGTCGATTCTGATGTACTAAATTAAATATGGTAAATATGGTAAACTCGATTTGTATGGATGTAATCAAACTATATCCAGAAAAATTAGTTCTGAGTCTTTTTATAGGAATAAAGGTCTTAAAACAGACATTTTTATATATAAAGGTGTTTATGATATATAAATAGATACAATGTATGTATAATATAAAACTTTTCTGTACAGGGATGGTAACCTTGAATTTTATTTCTGATAGATTTGGCTGTGGCAATAATGTTCATATCAAATGCATGAAGATCTTGGCTAACTACCAGAATATGACCTCAAGCTCTTCCATGGTGAAATGTCCTCTGTGCAGGAAAGAGTTCGCACCATTAAAAGTTATTTTGGAAGAATTCAGAAACTCCAGCAAACTTATGGCTACCACCGAGAAAGAACGGCTGGACAAACACCTTGGAATTCACTGTAATCACTGTGAACAATTTCCGATAAAGGGGAAATGCTATAAGTGAGTGTCACCAGTATAACTACAAATTCCTTTTAACTTTTCTTTTTTTTATTTGTAAAGATAAAGAATGAAAACACACTGACAAACAAACAGACATAAACAAAACAACACTTAGACAATAGAAGCAATACAGAGTTTCAGACAAGGTGATAGAAAATTGACAATGGAGATTGTATTACATATTGGTATCTTCAAATTGGTAACTCAGTTAAAAATAGGCATTTAAGATTGATCAAACAGTTAAACATAAACTGTTCTTTTCAATAAAGCAAGAGAGGCTGGTAATATGATTCTCTCAATTATCCTGTGTGTGTATATAGAGATACATATATATATATATATATATATATATATATATATATATACATATTTTCCTTTCTTTGTTTCTCTCTTTTCCCACATCCCAGTTGTTCCTTCCCTTTGAACAATTTCTTTCCCTTTCACGATATCTATTATACCTTTCAGATTTTATTTACTCTTTCAGGTTCCTACACTAGTGAGACAATATGGTATTTACACATGTGGGTCTGATTTATTTCACTTGTGAGTATGGACTCTAGTTGCATCCATTTAGCTATAAAAGCCTCAAGTTTATCTTTCTTTATAGCTGAGTAATACTCCATTATGTAAAAATACCACATCTTTTTTATCCATTCCTCAACTGATAGACATTTCGGTTGCTTCCACGATTTAGCTATTACAAATTGAGCAGCTATAAACATGGGTGCACATGTATCTCTGTGGAATGATGTTTGTAGTTCTTCTGGAAAAATACCCAGAAGGGAGATAGCTGGGTTGAATGGGATCTCTAGTCCTAGTAACTTTTCAAAACCTTGACCGTTAGAGCACCTGCCCTTCAACCCAGCCTTCTTCCAACTGCATAAGCTGCGATTGCCTTATTTGATGGCAGCTTATGTGGGATTTCTAGACATGTGATCTGATTTTACTTTCTTCACTTTTGCAAGAGAATTGCCCTTGCACTGGAGTATAGGTCACATCCCCAGTAGCACACCGGACGAGAAGCCCTGGACCTAGCCTTGTGGCACTGTCCTAGATGAGAACCAAGCTCAGAGTTACGCCGCATCTCTCACTTTCCTTGAACAACAAAGAGGTCATTGCCAAAATCTCCTAAGATTAAACCAGAGGGAGACTGCCTTTTTCATCAAATTCCAAAAAGTCCTAATTGCAACAAATTCTTTTTTTTTTTTTTTTTTTGGTTTTTCTCCGGTACCGGGAACCGAACTCACCACCTTGCGCTTGCCAGGCAGGCACTTTTGCCGCTGAGCTAAATTCCCAGCCCCTGCAACAAATTCTTTTATTTTCTTTCATATTTTGCACCTCAGCAATAACAACAAAAGTGAGATAACTAATAGAGCAGTTTTCACCATTTTCCCATAATCATCACAATTAAACATCAATTCATTGCCTGAAAATTATGTTTTATTAATTAAAATTATAAGTAATGGATTATTTTGTTTTAATTTTAAAAATTCTTCTAAAATTCACCAGTTTACTTTTCAGTGTCTCTAGCACTACATTCTATGCACACAACTTAAATTATATAGATTAAACTTTCCCATAAAACCATAAAACCTTCCTATAGTCCTCAACAGAAAATTACACCTCTCTCCTCTGAATTTAGCGCTCAGTTTTCTGGATGCGTCACACAAATGAAACCTCATCACTGACAAAAGTCTTAGGAAGTGGCTGGCCTGAGGAGGCTCCAGAGAAGCCTCTAACTGGAGGAGGAAGGGCAGAGTTTTAGTGATAATTCTTTGGGGAGTGTTCAGCTTGTCCTGGGAAGGTCGGTAACAGAGTTCTGGGAGGAGAAAGACCTTGGTCTTCAGTAGTAGCAACCACTGTCTGGGTCCAGCAGCTGTGGGGTACAAAGACACTGAGGGCCACAGTGCAAAATTCTCAGCCCCTGTATTCCTCAAGTGGCTAATGTGTGAGCGCGGCGGGTTACATCAAGATAGTGCCCCTTTTAGGTATTCTGTGCGAACAGTGCGCTCCTCTGTTGCTCTGGGAAGTCTTGGATTCTCCTTGCGCGGCCTCATTACACCCTCCTCCGCCTCGGCGCTGCCCTGGCCGCTGCTGGGCACTCTCCTTCGCCAACACCTTCGCGTGGCTCCTCCTCAGCAGCCTGGCCAGCAATTTGTCACTGCTGTCACGGTTCTGTGTTACAAATTGAAGAATGTGTGTGCAACACGTATGACGCCATCCTCCTTCCTTTCCCTCGAGTGCGGTGCTGACGTTGCAGGCCTCGGCCTGAAGAATTACTTCGGGTACTTTGAGAAACAGATTGAGTAGGAGAAAAGGTAAACAAGAAAGTCTCAGTTAGGTGTGGTGGCGCACGCCTGTAATCCCAGCACTCGGGAGGCTGAGGCAGGAGGATCATTGCGAGTTCGAGGCCAGTCTGGGCTACAAAGTGAGCTCAGGGCCAGCCTGAACTGCATAGCGAGACCCTGTCTCAAAAAGACAAAAAACCAAAAACACAAAAAGAAAGTCAGCTCTTTCATTAGGGCTTCATGATCCAGCTGTTTTTATATTTTAAGATGTCAATTCAAAAATAACAGGTATATGGGGAAGCATGTAGATGTTCATCTTTTTCTCCCCCAGGGTACTTTGATATATCCAGCAGCACTGCACCAACCTATGGATGTTGATTATCAAGAATCCATGTGTGTATAAATAGTAATAATAAACAAATTAGTTCTTAATACTAAAATGTCTGAAGGACATATTGCTTCCCAATTTCTCATGGAAATAACCTTATAAATCTTTGATAATGTAAATTAGAAATAAGTTTATTTGACTACTGCTCAGGTTATTGTTTGGTAAATCTTACAGCAAGTTAATTAAAATTCTAGGCTTGTGGCAAATTTTTATAAGCGGTATGCACTTGACATTGGGATTTTAAGGAAAATTAAATTTTAAAAATTGTATCAGTTGTTTTTTATTGAAATTTTTTGTATGTTTATCTTTTCTCATTCTGTGGAGAAAGAAAAGGAGTATAATCCCACTTTCAAGTCGTAATCTGCTAAGTGTAATTGTAGCATTCGTGGAACGACTAGAAAGAAACATTGGGAAATCAAATGACAGAATATTTAATGGGTTACTGACCCTACAGGAGTTTAGAGAGGGAGATGACGGAAAGATGATTTAGTCTAGGAAGCCATCCTGGAATGGGACGCTGGTTACAACACTGGTCTCATGAGTGCTATATGCAGGCATCCTTATGTGCACACCTGTATATCAGGTCACGGGTCATAGCCAAATGAGGTAACAGATTGAATTAAGGCTTCCAATCAGATGACCTTGAAGTAAGGGTATCCTGACCTGGATAAGCCCAGGATAATTGTTCTTCAAAGTGGCAGCGAGAAATCCAGCAAGAAATCTGGCAAGGGAAGAAAGGCAGGGAGCTGCTACCAAGCTCACTTTGAAGGTGGAGCAGAGGGCCACATGTTAAGAAATGCCTCTCATCTCTAGAAGGTGAACACGGAAATGGGTTCTCTCAGGTCCCTAAAACACCAACACAGCCTTGCTAGCCTCTTATTTGTAGCCAGTTAGACCCATGTTAGACTTTCTTTGCAGAACTGTAAGATCATAAATTTGCATTATTTAAGCAGATACATTTGTCAAGTTTTTAGAGTAGCAATAGGAAAGCAATACACAATGGGACCTGAAATCACGTTTGGTTCATTCCCAAAAAGTTTGGGTCAGAATTTTTCATCTAAAAACATGACAGTAACGAGATTCTCTTTTGCCTGTTTTGCCCTTTTTCATTTTTAGGTGTACAGAATGTGTAGACTACCACTTGTGCCAGAAATGCTTTGATAGCTCCTGCCACGCTCCCCATACATTTTCATTTCGTGAGGTGCAGTATCATCGTGACTCTAATAAAGGGTTTGGATTTGTCTTGCTATAAAACTAAGTAAACCTAAGAATATAAAGAGTAGGTGATGCTCTGGAACAAAGTTGGGTGATTTTTAATGAAAATCTACAAGGATATTTCTAGAAGAACTCTTTTTTTGCATAGGTGCACAAGCCAAGCAGTTCTTGCACTGGTAATTTGTAAACCCTAACACCATAGCAGACATCTGATAACATTATAAATAAAGCTTGCAAACAAGAATTATAGGAAAACTTGCAAATTAGTTATAAATGATTTCAACCTTATAATTTGGCATATCAGGGTTGACAATCATATGTGCTTTTCTCTTAAAATTTCTTACACCAATAATAATTAAACATGGAACTTTATTGATATCATTTGAACTATACATTTAAGTATCATGTGATGCTGATAATAATGCTGTTTTTCTAATTATACACTATAAAACAAAATGTCCACAATTGTTAATAATTTTACTTTAAAAAGTAATACATTATGGTAGTTATACAAGAGTACATGAGACCTGATAACTATTTGATATTTTAATGTGATTAAAAAAAGAATAGCCACATTTAAAATAGTATTTTCCCATTATTATATAATTGATAAGTAGACTAATACTTTTTTAATCCACAAAATAAAAATTTTCATGACCTGCAAAGTAATATCTACTTTCTACCTGTTACAGAAGAGAAACCAAAGATGGTGTTCACTAGAAAAAAAGTCACATGAAGATGTAAAATACTTAGATATTAAAAGTAAGATAGAAGAAAAGATGCCACATTATCAAGAAAAGGAAGGGTGAGGTTCTAAGTAAAATTTGCCTTTTTAGTAAACATGATCTTTGAATAATTTTTCAGTCTGAAAACATTATTTTATTCTTTGACTTAATATTACTATTTGATTTAATTTATTAACCATTTCCAAATACTAGGTGAAGTTATAAAGTGAAGACTGCTTAGATCCAGTCCTAATTCAGCCACATGTTGTCTGTGTGTAACTTTGGGCTATTAATGTCACATCTCTCTGCACAGTTGCTCATCTTAAACAAGCGGATAATTGTACAACCAACCTCATATGAATTTTTTGAGTGTGAAATGAGTTACTACACACAGCAAACATTCAAATAATCTGTTATAATTAATTCCATTAGAGATAGTAGTAGGTATTGGGAATACACACAGTTTCTTCAGTAATCAAATAATTATCTAAATAAATATCAAATTGTTTTTTTGTTTTGTTTTGTTTTGTTTTGGTTTTTCTCCCGTACTGGGAACCGAACTCACCACCTTGCGCTTGCCAGGCAGGCGCTTTGCCGCTGAGCTAAATCCCCAGCCCTAAATAAATATCAAATTGAAACTGACCTAAGTTAGATAAACAAAAGTCACAAAGAGTTTTGAGGTTTGCCTTTGTAGTAATTGACCTCTGGCAGAGAAAAGTATTCACTGCTTCATTCCTCCTCTTACTCCACTCCCCACTTCATGGCCATGGAGTAAGAGTACTGAGTACATTGGTCACGTTTCAGCACCTTGACTGGGTTGTTTACAGAACTTCAGTCTTACTCCTTGTCAATTACAGAAAATTAAGCATGTATTAATAGACGATGTGCATTATAAAACATATGCAAAAGAAGCTATTTTGAAAGGATGAGATAAAACTGGAGTTGGGGGGTTTGTTTTGTTTTGTTTGTAGTTTTAATGAATTAGTCAAACAAAAATCACTTCTTCTCACTAAATGTATAGACAGGCATACAACACACCTCCATACCACACACATGTAGGTGAGTTTCTATCCAGACCCCGGTGGATGTATGGCTCATGCCTATTGGGTACGCTAAACACTATGGAGATCAGAGCTTTTGTAGGACATGAAATGAGTCTCTTCAAAAACTCCCCACCTCCACTTCTCCTGATGAGGAATCATACTGTGTTCTTTTAGAATACATTGTACCACAAGGGCTGAATTAGGAGATACTGGTTGGTGGTGAGTCTGGAGGAAAATGATGGGGGGAAGAAAGAAATTCCAGATAAAGACAATGGGAAAAAAAAAAAAGAATTTTAAGATAAAAAGAGTGGATTCTAACCTTAAAGGTCCTAAAATACACATGTAATTGAAATTACATAACGCTGATGAAAGCAAATTTGTGTAGCCAGATGAGGATGTATCTATCGAGTAATGAGAAAGACAAATGTTTCTGAAGAATATGTGTGAACTTTCTTTTTTGGGCACCAGGAATCAAACTCAGGACCTCATGCTTGTCAGGCAGGTGCTGTGCTGCTGAGTTATATCCCCAGTCATATATGTCAACTTTGTTATAAGTGACTTTTGAATGTAGAAATGCATCTGATCTTTTAACAAAGTTTGGTTTTGATATTTGTTTTTTTAACCAGTTGCTAATGGCATCAAATATGAGTTCATTCACATTATATCATCCTTGCTATGCTGGTCAGGACTTTCAAGGTTTCAGTAAGCTCATCTAGTAATGTTGTGGTAAGCACATACCCCAGAGAAAATGGATTTCCTAAAAGTTATGATTTGCCAATCACCACCATAACGTGAAATACTCAGTGCAGCTTACTGTGACCTCACTTTCTACCAGTTGACAAAAGGAATTGGATTGTATTTTTCTAAACACTCACTCAAAAGTGTTGGCCAAGATTGAAATAATTTGAGAATATAGTTCTCATCAAAATTTGGCCCTGGTTTTACTGACATTACAATATAAAAAATATACACTAGTGCTTTTATTTTATATGACCAAATTAAATTTTGCTCTCTGTGAAGTTGGATCTTCCCCATGCTTGTTTCAGTATAATAGTTTCATTTTGTAGTGGTTGAGATGGATTATCTTCGGTTCAAGAATGCTATGCATTCAGCTGCATTATGTAGAAGTTCCCGCTGCTGGTTTTTTCCAGATCTGTCCTCACATGTGAACATGCGGGTCTCTCTGCTCACTTTCAGCGAGGTTTACACACCGAAACACGTTGTGAAGTCACTCCCTCTCTTACTGATCACAAAGAATAGTAAACTGCTTGCTCCTGGTTGCCAGTGTCGACTTTGTTTGAAATCATTTCAGCTTGGTCAGCACATGAGACTGCTGCCATGTTCCCACAAGGTAAAAGTCACATTGTTTTAGTTTGACTTTCCCTAAATGGGCAGTTTTCCCAAATGAAGTGACAATTTAAGTTTATTCTTCCACTTTCTAGTTGTACTCTGTGCAGAAGTCAGATTGCACAGATGAGAACGAGCTGCCACAGAGTATGGAGCAGCAGCTCCGCCCCGGGGTCTGTTTTCATTGATTAGGACTCTTTTCTATAGATACCATCTAGGAAAGACAAGTGGTGCTTTACATTAGATTCTTTTATCTACTTAAATTATGTTTAAAGGACTTGTAGAACACTTTTTGCTATGTAATTTTAGACAAAAGAGAAATGCCTAAATTGACATGAGTTTTTATATGAACTTACTAGAATCAAAGCCTAACATTGTTTGATTGCTATATAGTTGATAACTAAGCTTTTACAGAAAGAAAGTTGTTTCAATAAATATCTTGTAGGGTTAGTATCACCCTTATTTATAGTGGCTGATAGTTCCTATTATTACCAAAAATACGGTTTCCTTTATATCTCACTGTCATTGGATCCAATTTCCAACTCTAGTGTTTAATTTTTAAATAATTTTTAATCCCAGTTTCTCAGAAGGCTGAGACAGGAGGATCTTAAGTTCAAGGTCAGCCTGGGCCACTTAGCAAAACCCTGTCTTGAAATAAAAAGGATTGGGGATGTAGCTCAAAGGAAGAGTGCCCCAGGCTTCAGTACCAGGCCGCAAATAATAATAATAATTTTCATTTGTTAGAAGTCATTAGCATAAAATCAATAGCTTCATTAAATAGTGAATGTTTAACAAAATTACAAAGTGATATCTATACACATCATTGGATTTTAATGTTGAAAATGGTGACTAGTTCATAAATCCATTATATTTATGTGAACTTCAAAATATTTTCATAAGACTTGGTAGATGAGAATTACCTTCTATTTTACTAAATAGTTCTAATATACAGTTATGATGCTGGGAAATATTTATATAAGTAACACAGATTACAAACATGATAGTTATATCTCTGATTAACATATAACCATTTTTTCCAGTTTCATAGAAAATGCATTGACAGCTGGTTGTTCCACAAGTGCAATGCATGCCCTATTGATGGACTGGTGATACACAGCCCTTTAATCTGGAAAAGTACAGCAATGGATGCACAAGGATACAAGCCAGCTTCCAGGATGAACATCACTCATCTGTCAAAACAGGAAGAACTGAAATTTCTTGTACCTGGTACTAGATTAATTTTAAAACAAAATAGACCTGAAATTTTACCTACCATTCCCCAGAGTAATTCTGAAAAGCTGAATACACTTCAAAGTCCCACAAATACCTATCAGGATATAACTATAGATGATCTATGCTCTGTCAAATTAGAGGGCTCAAATTCAAGAAAATTACTGTGTGAACATAAAATTAGCCAACATTTCCCCAGGTATCTTCAGGATTTGCCCACTGGACCACTTGGGAAAATATCACCTCAAACGTTTCTTCCTTCCATTGCGCAGAAGAGTACGAGTTGTCACCCTGAGACGGAGAGTTTTTGTGGGCCAAAACGCCACAGTGGTCTGAGTCAAAAAGTAACCAAACACGTGAGCCATAAAGAAAAGAGGATGCACAGTACTACACTGAGACGGGACAACAGGAGATCAAATATTTTACTTCCAGAGGAGTTAAATCTTGTTGTTAATGGGAATGTGACTAACCTTAGTGTGTCGAAAAGATGTAATAATTATAAGGGGAAAATTAGACCAAAATGTCATCATCTATCAAGGCAACCTGTATCTTATTCTTCAAATACACAAAGTACTGCACTATCTTTAATAATGGAAGGGGTTCGATTGTGAAAAGTATTTTTGATTACTATCAAACTATTTGTACATTGAATATAAAAAGTTTTATTTTTAGAACATGAAAAACATATACACTCTTGATAAATGCAGATGAAATTCTCTGTGGTTATTTTGCCTGCTTGTCTATGAATTACTACTGCACTTAAAATTACCTCATTACTTATAAAACAGTTTATTAGAGTTTCTATAGTACATTTACATGAATTAAACTTTTTGTAAAGATATAGATTTTCCCTGCTTCAACTCACGGCTTTCAAATATTTCACTTAATAACATATACTATAGAGCTGGGCATGGTGACTCACACCTCTAATCCCAGCATTTGGGAGGCTGAAGCAGGAGGAGCACTGCAAGTTCCAGGCCAGCCTAGACTACATAGTGAGTTCAAGGCCAGCATGAACTACATAGGGAGACACTGTCTCAAAATATATATGTGTGTGTGTGTGTGTGTGTGTGTGTGTGTGTGTGTGTGTGTTATGTAACATTATATATATAAACCACTAATATATGTTATATAACTATATATATATAAAACATTATACAGGGATTATTTCTGATATTTGTATAGTTTTTCTTTTTTTTTTCTTTTCTTTGCACAAAGAATCAGCCTATAGGAAACAACAGTCTATAGGAAAATCCAGGTGGTGATTTTCTTTTACTTCCTTAAAAGGAATTTTCTTATACATGAAATGAAAGCAAAACACAATGCCATAAACCTTGACACATTCATAATGGTTTTACCATTTTATTTTCGAGACATTTTTATTTTATAAGTCCTGCCAAATTTGTTGAAGCAATCACTATTAAAAGACTTGTTTTTATAACCTGCTGTTTTCAAAGTAACCATTCCTGCAAAATGTTCCTTTGAAAATCATAACCATTAGATGCTTGGTTTTTTTTAATTTCTGTGGCCCAGTAGCCTTTCAAATATTATTTTTTAAACATTGATATCATTAATTTTGATTATCTTTAACAAAGATGAAAATTTCACATGAGTTATTTTTTGCCATGGTAGTAATGGAAGACAGTTCCATGAAAGAAATTTTGAAGACATCAGGCAAAGTTATTTGCAAAAGCATTTGAACTTAAATGATTAATTAAATTGAGGCAAATCAGCAACTAAAAGTAATTATAGATATGTAGTTCAGAAGTAGTAACTGACAGCTAATTAAAACTTGAGCTGTGTTTTAAAGCTGAATGGAGCTTTGGCTTATTTCTGATGTACAAATGGATGACAATTATATCTGTCAGCAATCCAGGATTTTATCAGCCTAATTGTTTTGAAGAGTAATAATTTTTAAATTAACCAAATGTTATTTATTTTTAATAGGTATTGCAGCCTCCTTTTTAAAATCATCCTGCAAAAAGGATTTAAAAATTTTTTAGAAAGCAAAACTATGAAAGAGCTATGAAAGAATAATAATTGGGGTGTTCGTCAAGAAAAATAAGGCTGTAAAGTTTATTTTATAAGAAAGATAAAATAAGGACTCCATTGTTATACTATTCCACTTTCAACTTTGTTAATGATGATGCTCCTATTAGTTTATTATTTCAGTAATATACTATATAAAAATAAAATGTTACAAGAGGAGAGTAGAAATTATGAGCAAGCTTTGCCTAGAGTTAGGCATATAAATTAGCTGACTCAAAGAGTGAAAGTTAAGCAGATTTTTGTTTTTTACTTAGACTAAATTTCAGAGTGTGTCTTCCCATTTGCGAGGAAGAAGAAATGGCCTGAGAATAACCTAACCCAGACTCACGGGCAGTGGCAAATGACCTCAGCTCAGCAGGGCTAGCAGGTGGAAAGGCTGTAGACAACCTGACCTGGGGTATAGGCATGTGGATGTCTACTAGAGCGCACTGCCAACAGCTCTGCTCTTTGGGAATATTTTCTCTAACCACTGTGTTTTTTAGGGTGGAGAGCAGTTGCTGTCCATTTCCACATCCATCACTGACCCATCCAGAACCCAAATCTGGGTGTCCCATCTCGTCATGGATGTGAGCCAGTGGTGGCTGGCGTGGGGTCTGCGCTCTTGCTCAAGCAGTGTAACGCTCAGCCTGTGCACACTCAAGACAGATTGTGCCAGCTCTGCACTCAGATAAATAGCTGCAGAGCCCAGCCAACTGGGCTGCCTCCCTTACTCTGATACTTATCACAGCAATCCCACACCCCCAGATTGTGGCAGTTAAATGCCACCAGCTGGCTTTTATTGGGATGGCATCCCATCATCCCTGTTGCTGGCAGTGAAGCTTTGCACTAAGAGACTCTCCCTGTCAGCCTTGGATTACTATGCTGCATGTCTAGCATCACATACCCCATCCCAGCAAGTTGCTTAGGGCATGCTAGATGTATTTAATAGGCCACCTGGAACATCAGAATCTGAGCAGGCTCAGTCCTACAAAGTATGACCCAGCATGCCACTTCTCATGGTTTTTTGTTTTTTTTTTTTTTAAATCCATCTACCATTTGCTGTAGCACTCTGGTATTTTGACTTCACTTAGTGTAGGACTCGGTGGTCGCCAGGAGAAAACCACAAGAGGATTTAGAAAATAAAAACAAGAGAGAATAGCTAGGGTCAGGTGGAGTGACCTCTTACCTGATGGGCAAAAGGATCTAACTTCAACCGTAGGGGCATTTATTTATACTCTTGCAAAGTTAGTATCATGGGAGGTAATGTTGCCTAGCAACTAATGACTGTAACTGTCCAGGCAGGATGCTTTTCTCAAGACTGAGGTAGCTTGACTGCTTGAGGCACTCTGGCCCTGTCCTGCCCTCATATATAGGACCAGCTTCCAGCTCCAGCCACTCCCAACAACTTAGCACTGGGCACCCTTTCTTCATGCTTCTGGGAATTGTCTTATAGTGACTGTGCACCATCACCTGGCATCCTTACGTAGCTATTAAAGGCTGTATCACACGAATACTCTGGAGTGAGTAAGCTCTGCTCTGCCCAGTGTTACACTCCGAGCTAGTCGTGTGAGTGCTCTTGGAGTTCAGACCCACAGGTTTCAGCCCCTGCCAGTGCACAGTGGCCAGTATTTCTATCTTCTTCGGGGTCTCAAGATGCTGTTAGAACCAGCACATCTCTGGCTGGACTGTGGAATGAGCTTTAACTCTATGCCTGCTGGCCACAGAAAGAGGTAAGGGCAAATCCTCAAAGTGAATGCATGATTTTCTGTGAGGAAGAGGAGTAGGCATTTGTTCAAGTGAAGAGAACGGTCTACATTTTCAGTGATCAGATGACTCTGGAGCTCAGAATTTTCAGGGACATTCACCCGGGTGTTCTCTTTCCAAGTGTCCAGTGCCCTTTTTTCCCATCAGGCTCTTACCTTGGCCTAACCTGCCTGTGTAGACTGAGTACTTACTTACCTTATCTGGAGTTCTGTTAAATCCTGGTGCTTGGCTTTACAAGAGTGCTTCCATAAGCCATCAGGAAAGTCTATTGTTTTCCCACTTAGTGCTTTAATTGCCAACAGCTTTTCATTGTTCACATTCGAGGTTAGCTATGGGTTTAACGGTAGCTGCCCATTCTCCTTGCTGTTACAGTTATTCTTTGCACAGTTGTTCTCAAAGATCTGCTACTTTACAACAAATAATGCATACCCTCCTTTCCCCAAGGTATTCCTTTCATGATTCGCCAATGAAGTTTCCATTTTAGACAGAAACTTATGGCCATCCCCTTATGGCCAGAGATGTCTGTGTGACACTTACCGGGGACAGGACCCTCATTGCAGCTATGCAGAAAGTGATCTAGTTCCCAAGCCCTGAGGCACCAGCTGCTTCCTCAGCCCTCTCCTGTTAACAGTTGGCAAAACTTGTTTCTTCCACATGCGATGTTTGAATAGAATCTGGTGGTCAGGCTCTGTTTTAAGCATTAACATCTTTCAAACTTTGGTATTGTGTTCATCTGTCATCACCTTATTCCCTTTTCTGGAGTAAACAAGAGTTGGTAGAGGCAGAGGTAGCATTGTCAAGGCTTGGTCATATCCCTACTGCAATCAGTGACCGGCCATGGGCCATCTCAGAAAGGATGCACATGTGGGATCAGACGTGCTCAGCAAATGAGCAGAGGAGGAAGACGCGTTCGCTGCAGCACTGTTCTCCCTGACAGCACCTCAGCCGCTGAAGGACTGGGCCTCCCTGGAACCATGTGGGCCGTGCAGCTCCCAACCACCCCTGCACAGAGGTGGAGAACATTAGACAAATATGGGAATATTCAGGAGGGGCTGCTAAGGCCAAGGCAGAAAAAGAATCCTAACTACAGAACACTTTTGAGGGGAGATATTACTTGTGCTCACTGATACCTGGTTCCTTGCCTGGAATTTGGGAGACTGAGATTTCTAGCACCATTGGAGTTAGGCAGAGTCTTGAGACCAGCTCTAACCAATGACACTGGGACAAAGGGAAGACGGTTACTTGCAGCCAGAGACAGTGACCAGCTCTGGCATGTTCTGGCCTCTCTTCCCACCACAGTAACCGGGGAGCCACATGTTGCAGACAGTGCAGCCAAGAAGCAGCAGCACCTCTGCCAAGAAGCATCCTTGGTGTAAACAGTTAAAGAGGAAGTGATGTATGATTGGAAGCTATGGTGAATGTTCACGTTTTAGAAATACATTAGAGTAAAAGGCAAATTACATTGCCATTAATCCTCCTTAAAATACTCTGCCTCGCTTCAGGTGCTTAACCCATCATTCCCATTCTTTTTCGAAGCACTCTAGAAGTCTTCTTTTGTGAGTGTCTTTGGTTGTGCTGTTGGGGCTGTTTCAGTATCTGAATCTATTCAAAGCAATCACCTTTCACAGTTATTTTGATTTTGTGGAGGGGCCAGAAGTCACACAGTGCCAGATCCACTGAATAAGATAGATGGGGACACTGCATCATGTTCTTACAAGCCTGCATTTCCACTGGGTGACACTCAGCATCATTCAGTGTACATTTTTTAAGTCCTCATAAAGACACTCATGAAGGAGGACTTCCAGAACTGCTTCAGAAAGTAACACGGATGATGGAATACATGTGGTCAAACCCCAGGGAAGTATTCTGAGTGGAATTAACAACTTTGCTTCTTACTGTAATCTATTTCTTTTA